ATGAAGAACTACAAGTAATGACTAGAAGATTTCAGCACCAACCTCACATATATAAAGATCCTAAATGTGTATTATGTGGAATATATGAAGAGAATAATTTGCATGTATTTGAGTGCAAAAGAAACAATGATAATTCTGAATATAAGCCATTTATGGAACATTATGAAAAATTAAAGAATACTTAACAGATAAAACTTATGAGAAAGCCAAAATCATAAGTAAAGAAATAATAAATGCAATGTTGAGATCTATAAGTGAACTATATTTGTGGAATATACATGATCAGGATCAAAGAACATTTTCATCATGTGAACTTGAATGATATAATTAGGGTACTTATACCACATTCTTTAACTAATAAGATAGCTAAAATGCTCAAAAGCAAGATAAAGGCCAGGGAGACAATAATTGAGGGAAGTGTTAAATTTAAAGAGTATTTATGAGAATGTTGGAAGGAAAGATGTGAAAGGGAATTACAAAACAATATTTTAAAAAAAGAAAAAATAAAGTCAATAATAAGAATAATAGCAATAGTGATAATATAAATAGGGAAGGAAATAACATAAATACAGAATTTAATGAAGAAATAAATAGAAACAGAGACAACCAAACAATAATAAGAAAAGAAAAGAAGGAAATTGTAGAAGAAACAAAAAAAAATAATAGAAAAATATACAGAGCATAACTTAGAAACATTATCATGTATGAAAGTTATTATAATATTAACTATTGTTATAAATACCACCATTTTATCTGATGGAGTTTTGACCATCAGTTCTCAGGTTTAGCCTGGGCAACAATGGGTCAGATGGTAAATAGAAATATTTTAGTCAGTTTCAACAAATGTACAATATATAAAATGTAAAAAATTTACAGATTTGATATTAATAAAGTTTATTGGAGCAAGATTCCATTGGTATAAAAAAAAAAGAATTATGTTTTCTATTTCATGCAAATGCACATATAAAATAAATATAGGTAGTAGTAATGATTTTATTTAATATTTCCATTATTCAAAATCATTATCTTAGCAAAAAAAACAGATGTTGATGATGTTTCTATCAAATAATCTATTGCTTCTATTCATCAGTATGATTATTCTCCAACAAAAAAAAATTAAATGACAATGATATATATAATTTTGTATCTAAAAACAGTACTAAAATCAAATTCATCGGTTTAAGAAGAATAGAAAAGTAACGTCCTTTCTTCCCTATTCCTAAATGATTGTGTGAGAGGCATTATTAGTATAGTAGTGCGTGTCACATTATCCTTTGATGCCCGCTTCTATGGCGTCGACCTAAACTTCAAACTGTTATCCTAAAACCTGCCTATGAAGAAAAGAGAAAAAGGAAAAAGGTAAATATTATATTAAAAAATTAAAGTTCTTGATTCTTTTTTTACAATTAATTTCGTTCAAACAATTTGACCGCATAATAATATATTGTAAAAAAATATACACATTAATTGCATAATACGTCATCGGTAAAATTGGCATTATTGTTTCAAAATATTTTGCTTAAGAAATATCCATACCAATATAATGATGCTTTTTCCTTCATAGAAAGATACTATTAGACAGATATATAGTTATGATTTCCTTTAACAATTATGTAAACAGTAGAAATTTACAATATTTTAAATTTTAATTTATCTTTTAATATAATAAAATCATCAATATTTGTTTTAATTTGTGAAATCTTATCTTTAAATATGGGTTTACTGAATATAGATTGAAATGTGGTCTAATTTACACTATGCATTTGACTTACAATTTACTAGTTCCCTTTTTATAGACAAATAATAATAGACGCACCTGCCAAAAACAGTTATCATCGTTATCATCGTAAATTTTCTACAATAATTTAAGATTAAATAAAGTTTCATTATTATCAACGTCATGACATAATTCAGAATCCCCATTTCAATTTCCCACTATCAACTAAATGATATAGCTGGTGAATATATTTTTGTTGGAGTATAATTTTTCGCATTTTCTGAATTCCTAAATAAATATTCGAAATATTTTTTATAAGGATCAAACGTTAAATATTTTGGTTCACCACAAGTTTTATTGGTCGAAGTAAAGATTCTAAAGCCCGACACCTAAATCTAATCCGCAATTAAACCTTACTGCTCGATGATGATTATTGTAGTCATTGTTATTGTTGTTGTTGTGGAAAAAGAAATCATTAAATGTATTTTTTCGTTATCATTGTTATAAATATTAATTCACAAAGTAAAACTTAATAAATTTTGTCTTCAAATAATATGGAATACTGATTTCATCAATTAAACAAGTAGTATTATTTAAATATTTATATAATAATAAGTAAAATATTAATAAATAAATAATATTAATCAATAAAATATAATAATAAATAAAATATAATAATAGATAATAAAAAATAATAAATATAATAATTAATAACTAATATAAGTAATAAATAAGAAATAGTAATCGTTTTTTATTATGTCAAGTTGTAAGCAAAATTTTTCTTGAACGTTAATTTTAAATATTTTCCACATGTTCAATTATTTTGTTTTTGTGATAATTTGATAATTCTTTTTTATCAAATGTGTATTAACATTTCAATGACAATACTACTTTTTTAATAATTAATTTTCATTTTTGAAAAACGGAAATTAATTATTAAAAAGAAGTAAAACATATTTTTCGATAATATCTTAATTGGTATTTTTGATACATATAACCAAAGAAATTATACTAAATGGTCAGTTTTTATTTAAGGAAAAAACTTGATGGCGGCAGAATTTTTCTCCATAATTATGAAAAATAAATTGTACTACGGAAGGTTCGGATTGTTTGTAAAAACTCCGATTTGCAAGCATTGAAGTTTTTAAATCTTGAATAATAAACATATTAACAATAATAAAAATGTCCTTTAAATTTTTTGATAAATTATCTCAAGATTTTTCGGAACTTCTTAATGAAAAAAAAGAATACAATGTAGTCATTGAAGTTGATAAAGAAGAAAACATGAAATCTTTTACTTTACACTCGGTTGTCTTGCGATATCGTTCAACCTACTTCACTAAAGAGTTGGAAAACACTATTACGAATGAAAATCATGTCAAAACTATTATCAAACCAAATATTTCTGCCCAAATATTCGAAATTATTCTTAAGTGAGTTAAAGAAATTCATTTATTACTTTAATTAACAATATTGTGCAAGTATGTGTATTTCGATACAAGAAGATTCAAAATTAATACATTTTATTGAATATATTTAATGCAGATATATCTATGGTGGAGTTGTTAGTATTGGAAATATAGAAACCAAAATCATTTATGAATTATTGATTGTTGCTAATGAATTAGAATTTGAAGAACTATCAAAAAAATTAGAAAGTTACCTTGTCGAATCTAAAGCTTCTTGGCTAAAAACTCATTTCGCCCGTATTTATCATTCAATCTTTGATAGTAATAAGTGTAATGAATTCAAAGGTTTGAAACAGTTTTACAATAATATTATTTCCAAACATCCAAATTTAATTTTTGAATCCGAAGATTTCACTTCACTCCGAGAAGAAGCATTAATTTCTATTTTGGAAAGAGATAACCTGCAATTAGAAGAAATTAAAATTTGGGATTATGTTATCAAATGGGGAACTGCACAAAATCCCACGTTGCCTAGAAATTTAGAAGAATGGACCGAAGAAAATTTCAAGACTTTAGAAACATCTCTACAACAATGTTTACCACTTATTCGATATTTTCATATTTCCGAGAAAGATATTTGGAAGAAATTAAAGCCATATAGAAATATTCTTGGTATGCAGCTTTGGGATGATTTAAATCAACAACTCATATTTCCAAATCAACCAGTTAGATCCCTCATTTTGCCAGCACGAATTATTTCAAATCCCGAATTACCTCAAAGAATGAATGAACGAATTTCAACCATAATCAATGAAGAACAAGTAGCAGAAATTTCATCATGGATTGATCGAAAATCAACTATTTATTCTTTAGCAAATGTACCATATAAACTTCAATTAATTCTTCGAGGAAGTAAAGATGGTTTTCAACCAAAAACATTTTGGAATATGTGTAATGGACATGCTGGTACAGTAGTGATTGCTAAAGTTGCGGGAACTGATGAAATACTTGGAGGTTATAATCCATTAGCTTGGGGTAATTCAAAAGCTGAAAGTTTTGGTACTTTTATAAGTACAAATGATAGCTTTATATTTTCATTGAAAAATGGGAATATTCAAAATTCAATTATCAGCAGAGTTGAAAATAAAAGTATTGCTCTGATTTATTATGGCTCTGATCAAAATATCCGTGGTCCATGTTTTGGTAATTTCGAATTCTTATTGCAATCAAATATTTCTGATTTTACTCGAGATAGAAAATGTTTGTGTTCTCATAGTTATCTTCGTTATTATGAAAAAGCCATTAGAACAGCAGATGAAAGATTTTCTATTGTAGATTATGAAGTATTTAAGATTGTTAAAAAATAATAATTTCAAACTCCAAATGTACAATAAATATCTTTTTATTTTATTTTATAATAAGTCTTTAAATAATTTGGTATTTTTGATATACGCATAATCAAGAAAACAAATATTATTGAACTAACACATTTTTATTAAGATACTGTTATTTGAAATAAATCTTAGTAATTAATTCAAATAATCAATTAATTAAAATTAGAATTTTTCATTATTCTTAATCCCGTGTCCAGAATTTTTCGAAAGTAATTATAAATACTAATCAATGATATATTTAATGTAGATATTATTTATGAATTAATGATTAGTTCCGATCTGAAAAAGTATCTATTATTGTATCCAAATTTAATTCTTGAAACAAAGGACTTTACTTCACATTGTAATCATGACATTCGTGATGAATTATTTGTGTATAAGTCGAAATAATGTTTTTATTATTACTATTGAACCACTGTTACTGTATTCACTCCTTTTTTTTTTCGATACATGCTTATCAGTTATTGAAATAAAATTAATTTAAGATTGTTTTATTTTTTTATAAACTACTAATCTTTTTATGAAGGTCATAGCTGGTCTGGTTATGGCAAGTTTACCTACAATCACTATAAGTTAATTCAATTCATTATTTTCCATATTGATAAATATCTACAATCAAATATTCATGAAGTAAATAATGAACTGGAATCAGAGTGAGAACTTCAACCTAACCAATCTTTCGATGTCTTATTCTTGTAGACTTGGAAACAAGAAGTCCAATTCCTTTTACTTTATCTCTTGCTGCTGCCATTTATTAAACTTAAAAACTTTTTTAATTAAAAAATATTTGTATATAATTAAATAAATATAGTATTATATAAAGCTATAAATAGAATTGACGATAAGTATATAAAAATTCAATATAAAAGTGTATAATATAAAAGGATATAAAAGTTTCATCAAATAAAAGTATATAATAGACGATTTTACAATGTCCATTCCTTTTGTTTCCTTCCTTTTTTTTTTTCTGTCCTTGTTGCCGATTTCAATTATTATACCACTCAGAAGATTCTCGTCGATCTTTATTAATTTCCTTGTAACGAAGAAAAAAAACGAGTTAATCGAAAGTGGAATAAATCTCCACTTAAAAACTCAAGTTGATGAAGGATCGGAAGAAATATATTTATTAATAATATTTTCTTTCAATATACATGCATATATATATATATATATATATATTAATTATTATTTTATATTCTAAAGGATAACAGGATAACGCCTAGAATTTCTGTCTCTAAGCAGGGGCTAGGAAAATGTCAATTCTCAAATTTATACAGCATAAAATTTATTGATCGGCATGCACTCAATATAAAAATATAGCGGGGGATAATCTCATTGTGTTTACAGTATTATAAACCCCCCGAAAAATCATTCTTTAAAAAAATTTGATTTTAATTACGTAATAATTACACAATGTATATAATTGGGAACAATATTAATTCCATTGTTTCATATTATCACAATACTAATAAGTTAAATGCATTTATTAATCACAACAGAATTCCTTTAACCAAAAATGTAAATAAAACCATCACAAAGAACTTTCCATATTTAATAAAATTAAAAAATAATATTTGGTTTATTGATCGGTTACGCAAACGGATTTAAGGTGACAACAAATAATGTCCTGCAATAAAATATTAAAAACATCAAAATAAATAAATAATTTTATTTTTATTTAATAATAATAATAATAATAATAATGCTGACAATAATAATACAGAAATTTTTTTTTTTTCAGAAAAAAAATTTTTAACAACAATCCTCCCAACCATTTTCTTCATAAAATCTTCTAGAATTTTCTACAATAATTTTATGTTCAAATAAAGTTTCTTTATTATAAGAATCATAATACTCATCATCCCCGGAATTACCGATGTCATGCCAATATAATAATAATTGAGAATCCCTATCCCATTTCCATTTCCCACTACTATGATAAACATTAAAATCTTCGGCATCATTGAAATGATACCTGGGTAAGTAGATTTCGGTCGGAGTATTGTTTTTGGGATTTTCCGGATTCGTAAATCTATATTCGAAATATTTTTTGTAAGGATCAAAGGTTAAATGTCTGGGTTCCCCACAAGTTTTAATTGGGAATGGTCGTAGTAAAGATTCTAAAGCTCGACCACCTATATCTAATCCTCGATTAAATCCTGTTCGATTAAATCCTAATAATTGATGTTTATTTTTATTATTATTATCATTATTATTATTATTGCTGTCGTCGTTGTTTGTCGTTGTTGTTGTTGTTGTTGTTGGTGTTGTTGTTGTTGGTGTTGTTGTTGTTGTTGTTGTTGTTGTTGTTGTTGTTGTTGTGGAAGAAGACATCATCATTGAATGTATTTTTTCGTTTTCATGATTGGGTGAATAAATACTAAGATCTTCACCATTCCATTGATCACCCCATTGATGATCATTGTCGGAACAATAATTCCATAATGTAAAACTTAATAGATTCGCTTCTAATGCTTGAAGATTTGCTTCCATGGCTTTTACTTGAAGTGAATAATCGCCATCATTATATGCCTTTTTGTCTTGCATATCATATGGAATACCGATTTCACCGATTAAACAAGGAACATTATCTAAAATATTTAAAATAAAATATAATAATAATAAAATAATAAATAAACAATAACAAATATAAATATAATAACAAATAAAAATAATAATAATAAAAAATAATAATAAAATATAATAATAAATACTTAGATATTTTTCTCCATCACTTTTTATAACACCAAGTTGTTCAGCAAAATTTTTCTTAATAGCTTTATCACCAACTTTAATAGCAGGAATCAATGATTTATATTTTCCACGTTTAAAACCTAAATAATCAATGTTCCACCAATTAAATTGTTTTTGTACTAATGTTAATCCATCATACCAATGAGGGGAATAAATAATTCGATCACTCCCTGATTCATTAAATCTTGGAGGAGGTTCAAGTACTGAGGGTTGAACAAAAATTATAGCTTTGGGTTGAACGGATCGAATGGTTTGAGTATATTTTTCAATAAAAGGTTTTAAACATTCTTCTTTCCAATCCAAAGGTTTTCCAGTATTAGGATTATTAGCGAAATAATCCTTTTTTAATAATTTTTTACTATTTTTATCCCATATTCCATGTCCACTCCAAATACATCCCTCACGTGGAAATTCGGAACCTTTCTTCCATGAATATCCTTGAGGTTCCTTTTCAAGCCAGGCGGTTTTACCTTTAGGATCAACTTTTTCTACTCCAACTATAACAAATCCATACCATCCAATATCCCAAATTTGTAAATTACAAGGTATTCCTTCACCTAATAACATTGTTTGAAAAGGTGTGGGAGTTTTTCCTCTTCGATATTCTTGAAATTTGGGAATTTTATTTAAATCTTTAATACCCGCGTATCCCCAACTAGGTTCATTCATTGTATCATATCCTACTACCACCCAATCGTTTAATTTGGCTTCACAAATTTTTTCCGCCAATTTTTTATAAGCGTTACAAAAATGGGATTGAAGATATTCTTGTATATTAACTCCATCCACTACACATTTTTTGGCATATAAATTACCAGAATAAAATAAGGTAAACATTGTAGCAGAAACAAGTTTATAATAATTAGTTGACCAAACCATCTTTGGAAATTCATCAAGTTTTTTATATGTATTATGAACGATGGCCGCTTCGGTATCAGCGAAATTTCTAATATTTAAGCCTACAAGATCAAGTGTCCATCCAGGTGCCCCCGAACCTCCTGATAATCTTGACCACTATAAAAATGAATAACGAGAATTAAATTACTTTGGAAAATAATGAATTTATTAAAAATAAAATTAATTATTCTTTTAAATAAATAAAAAAACACATACTACATCCTGATGTGGATCAATAAAACATTTGAAACCATATTCTCCTGCTTTAATTAAAACTTTTATGACGAAATCGATGAATTCCGTATCATAAATACCTCTGAAAACAAATAAATTAAAATAAATTAAATAATTAAAAATTATTAAAAAGATAATTAAAAAAATAATTAAAAAAAATAATTAAAATAATTAAAAATAAATTGAAAAAAATAAATTGAAATAAATTGAAATAAAATTAAAAATAATTTAAAAAATTGTTATTATATATCTACTTACGGTCCCGAATGTTCAAGAGCTTCCCAAGTAACAATAAATCTCAAAAAATTAAAACCCCATTGTTTCAAACGAGAGAAATGTTTGTCAGCTTCGGATAAAGGAAAAGGTCTACCAATAAAACTGACATTCCGATGATCAAAGAATCCTTCTAATTGATGAGAAGGTATGGAGGGATTAAAAGGATTCTTAGAAGCCCCAGATAAATTTATACCACGAAAGAGAACTGTACGATCCAATGAATCTTTTATCCAAGCTTTATTAAATTTAAGTGTGTCATTTGTGTCAATAATAATATCCGCGATCGACTTAGATGACTCATTACTCTTGCCATAATAATAATTGTTATTATTATAATTAATAGTTTTTTCATAACTCACAAAAGGATCTTTTTGTTGTTGCGTCGTCATAGTAATAGTACTACTACTAATCCGACGAATATTATGGAAAGTACGGCGGGAAAACTGAAAATTAAGACAACTCAAAGTACCAGAAGGAATAATAATGAGAAGTAATATTACGAGAAGTAATAGTAACAAGAAGTAATAGTTATGAGAAAGTAATAGTTACGAGAATTAAATAGTAGAGAGCGAGAAGTAATGGAAAGTTCTTAAAAGTATTTGACCGTCATAATATATTTCATATATTTGATATTTGCACTATTTAAGGTTAAAATCAAAAAGATAAGGAATATCAAGTTTTTTTTTATTTTTTTTAAATGTTGTGGCGGTGAAACATTTAAGTCTCAAAAAAAAAAATTTGTTTAACCTTTTCCCTTCTCTTCCCTTTAGATAGAACATTGATATAATTATATGGTATAACATGATATAAATATAATAAATGTGATACGAGATATGTTTCACAAATGTAGAAAATAAAAAATCCGATTTGACACAAGCACACAATGACCTTTAATGTTAAAATATTTACATAGATATATATATTATGATAACAATACCGCGGAAAAAATTATTATCCAAAAGTAAATCCTTTATTAAAATCCTGCTAAACCAACGGAAACTAAAACAGAAATAATGACTACAATCATATAAATGATACGTTAGTAAAAATCAACTCTTTTAAGAATTCGCTTTCAGTTTATTGTTTTCAGGTGTTCATTTTATTTTCTTTGCTTTGCTTCCATCAATGATTTTTATTCATCAATGATTTTATTGAATTCGGACACTATAATAATAATAATAATAATAATAATAATAGTATCTAATTTATTAATAATTTAAATTTATTAAATAATCTTGTAATGTTAAAGAAAAAAGAAAAAAAAAATATAAAGTATAACAATGTTTTACAGAAACTATTAAATAACTTATCGGCTAATTTATTCCCGTCACGTAATTTTCGATGTTTCTCTCTGAGACATAATCCTCATTAGAGGTTAATAATGATGACTCGTAGTAGTTAGTATTACCCTGATGTGCAGCTGTGCAGTTCCTAGTAAAGAAAAAGATGATTCAACAACTATAAGTCGCTCATTGTTGTTGTTGTTGTTGTTGGAACCTATTTAGGTTAATATATCTGTTACGTGTACGCTGATGATGATGTTATCGTTGTTTGTGATATCAATAGAAGAAGTGGAGGAAATAAAAAAATAATGCAAGAAGAAGATAAGAATCCTACTATCGTTATTGTCAAGACAAATCTTTTTTTTTTTCTCGGGTTAAAATAGATTGCTAGATGTAGTAAATTAGTTACGCCTTGAAAAATCATTCATATTGTAAATAACAGTAATTAAAGTATTAATATAGTAATTATAACTTTATGTCAAATATTTTTTGTTTCAATTTAATACTTCGTATTATAACAATAATAAATTTCTAAAATAAATAAATTAAAACTTTGTTTTTTATACTTATCTATTAATGTTAAAGATTTTTTTTTTGTCATGTGCGGAGAAAGGGAACACAAGAAAGATCATATGTGGTCATCGCGGAATTATCCAAAAATGAATTGATCCAGCAGATATAGAATTAACAGATATTACCATAAAGGAACATGATGACGATACAATAAAACATTTAAACATTTAAAATAAAACATTAAAATAAAATAAAGATCAATGAATTGTTCTCACACTAATTTAACAGTTCTTACTGGATTCATATATAGTTTAAATTAATATAATGTATATATACTTTATATGTATGAAAAAATTTTGTTCTAATTTAAGTATGTAAAAAAATCTATTGTCTTAAATGTCCAATATTTTGTTATAATGCTTGCTTTGGATAATTAGCAAGAATTACATGTTATTTTGTATTATTTCGTGTTATTTCGTGTTATTCGTGTCAAAAAAATCTATCGTTACACCGAAAAATTATCTCTATATTTACACTCGTTATGTGACTGTAATTATAGAGACTTTTCTTTTCAACCGGAAAAAAGAAACAGATTCTCTATTCATTAATGGTCATATTGGAGATCTTAGTACAATACCAAATTTTTATTATTCAATTTTCTGAACAATTTAAATTAATTCTCAATGTCTATTGAGGTTGAAGAACTATTTTTATTTCAAAATATTCCAAGTCCCTCTTTTTTTTTGAAAAAGAAAAACCACCACCAATTCTATTAATTTTATTAATTGATGAGGTACACATTTAGTTAATAAATCACTTATATAATGATTTATTTGTTCTTTGATAACATTGGAATCTACAATAGGTAATTTAAGCAGAGAAGAAGCCAAGGAATTCTTTGTGTTTGGTGCATTAAATTTTTTTATTATCGAACCTTCAAGTTACAATCGTTATATAATCGTTATAATCTATTTATCTAATTATATTTTACATGATAATATTTTTTATTAGAATTTGAGATTGTTAATAAATATGTTAAAAGAAATACAAAATACATATTGCAAAAAAAAATAAATTTCAAAAAGTATTTATCATAGAATTTATTGAATAGATAGAATTGATTTTTTTTATTATTATTTATAGAATTTTCAGTTACATCAAAAAGAATAATAATTGATTAAAATCATTATGTCTTTTATCCTGAGGACCTCAGGTTTCCAAAAAAATCTTAGAGTAAAATCCAATTTTATTAAATTTATGGAATCCATTGTGATTAATCAAAAAGAATGATTTGAGTAAAAGTGATTGGTTATGATAAAGTTAGTTCCCTCTTGAAGAAACATAATAAATAAATAAATGAATGAATGAATGAATAATAATAAAAAATTTAACTAATAATATTATTATTTTATGTAAAAGTCTAAAGTTTAGTTTAGATAAAATATTTTCTTTAATTTTGTATAATTTTCTATAATTTCTATTTCTTTTACATAAAATTTTTAATTATTAATAAGAATGATTTTCACTCAATTTAATTTTTTTTCTTTTAGCATCACGTGAATCATGTGACTGGTTTTTAATCATACCTATATAAAGTTTTTTTTTCTGTTGTTTTGAAAACTTAATCTTAGTAATGGCTACAGGTAAATAAGAAAAGATTTAGATCGAAGTCTTTTTTATTTTGAAAATGAGACTAATCTTTTACTTTTATATAATTATTATAATAATGAAGAGGACATTCGACGACCTGCAACTTATACTGCACCTAGTGAGGTGTTTGAAGATCTGGTAGGTGACGACGAAGAAATTGATCCTTTTAAACAACGGACTGGTTCACGTCGTATAATTGATAGACAAAATGAATATCATGCGCGAATGTTTAATCGAGTTATTTCACCAGAAAGAATGGATCCCTTCGCCGAAGGTGACGTTAAAGGTGACACCCGTTCCTACGCTGACGTGATGCGAGAAGTGGAAATAGAAAAGGAGGAACATCGTATTAAACGTAAAATTGAAGAAAAGAAAAGAGAAGAACAACAAAAGGCCAAGGAATCCTCCTCCTCATCATCATCATTATCAACATCAACGACGTCAATAGCAACTTCATTATCATCATCATCATTATCAGAAAAAAAGCGTAGATGGGATATGGAAACTCCTACAGTAGAGGATTCAAAATCAAGTTCCGAATGGTCAAGAACTGATGATGAAACATCTTCTGTTTCAAAAAGTAGATGGGATGAAACTCCTCGAACTACTGATGACGAAATGGATACACCTCGTAAAAGGAGTAGATGGGATGTTACTCCTCAAGTTTCAACTAAAAAATCGAGATGGGATGAAACTCCTACTCATCCTACTGTACAAATGGGTGCTACTCCGGTAGGAAATTTGGGACTTCTCACTCCAACCCCTGGGCATCTCGTTCCTATGACTCCTGAAGGTTATTATAAATAATTATAATTATAATAATAATAATTTTGTTATCTTGTTTTATTATTATTATTATTGTTATTATTATTATTATTATTTGTTATCTATCTTTATTACTTTATTATTTAATTTTTTATCCATTTTATTAATATATTTTATTATTTAATTTTTTTTATCTATTTTTTTTTATTATTAATCATCAAATATTTTTAATACTAAAATAATTTATTTTTATTAAATTTAGCTCAAAGATGGGAAAAAGATTTAGATGCACGTAACCGACCTTTATCAGATGAAGAACTTGATGCGATGTTCCCAGCAACTGGTTACAAAATATTAGAACCTCCAGCTGGTTACGTTCCCATTCGAACTCCGGCTCGTAAATTAATGGCAACCCCAACTCCTATGGCAGCTGATGGATTTGTAATGTTAGAAGAAGATCGAAATCAAACTTATGATTTACCTGCTGAAATTCCTGGTGTAGGAAATTTACCTTTCTTTAAACAAGAAGATATGCAACATTTTGGTAAATTATTAGATGATAAAGATGAAAGTGAATTATCAGTTGAAGAATTAAAAGAAAGAAAAATTATGAGATTACTCTTAAAAATTAAAAATGGAACTCCACCCATGAGAAAAACTGCTCTTCGACAAATTACCGATAAAGCAAGAGATTTTGGAGCCGGACCACTATTTAATCAAATTTTACCTTTATTAATGTCCCAAAATCTTGAGGATCAAGAACGTCATTTATTAGTAAAAGTTATTGATCGTATTCTTTATAAACTTGACGCACTTGTTCGTCCTTATGTTCATAAGATACTTGTTGTAATTGAACCTCTCTTAATTGATGAAGATTATTTCGCTAGATGCGGTGAGTATTTTTTTTTTACATTAACTTTTATTCGTTGATTATTACTACTTTAGATATATATATATTTACAAATAATTACTTTTATTATTATTTGAATAGAGGGTCGTGAGATTATTAGTAATTTAAGTAAAGCTGCTGGATTACCAACTATGATTGCTACCATGAGACCAGATATTGATCATGTGGATGAATATGTTCGTAATACTACAGCTCGTGCATTCTCAGTCGTGGCATCAGCTCATGGGATTCCGGCACTTCTTCCATTTTTGAAAGCGGTATGTAAAAGTAAAAAATCTTGGCAAGCTCGACACACTGGTATTAAAATTGTTCAACAAATTGCTATCTTAATGGGATGCGCTGTTTTACCACATTTGAAAAATTTGGTTGAAGCTATTGCTCATGGTCTTGAGGTATTAATAATAATATATATATATTTTTTTTGCTAAGATTAAATTTAAAAAAAAAAAAAAAAAAGAGTAAAACGGAATTTTAAACATAAATTTATTAATTAAATCAACTATTATTTTTCTTTCCTTCTTTCATTCTTATAGGATGAACAACAAAAAGTTCGTACAATTACTGCCTTAGCTATTGCAGCATTAGCCGAAGCAGCCGCTCCATATGGTATAGAATCATTTGATTCGGTTCTTAAACCATTATGGACAGGTATTCGTAAACATCGTGGAAAAGGACTTGCCGCATTTTTAAAAGCTATTGGTTACATTATTCCTTTAATGGATGCTGAATATGCTAATTATTATACTAAGGAAGTGATGATCATCTTAATTCGAGAATTTCAATCACCCGATGAAGAAATGAAAAAGATTGTTTTAAAAGTTGTAAAACAATGTGCTGCAACGGATGGTGTTCAACCTCAATATATTAAAGAAGAAATTCTACCGGAATTTTTTAAAAATTTTTGGGTTCGACGTATGGCACTTGATCGTCGTAATTATCGTCAAGTGGTAGAAACCACGGTAGAATTAGCTCAAAAAGTTGGAGTAACAGAAATTGTGGGTAGAATTGTTGAAGATTTAAAGGATGAATCAGAACCTTATCGAAAGATGGTAATGGAAACCGTGGAAAAAGTTGTTAGTCAATTAGGAGCAGCTGACATTGATACACGTTTGGAAGAAGTATTAATTGATGGTATTCTTTATGCATTCCAAGAACAAACTGTAGAAGATATTGTAATGTTAAATGGATTTGGTACCGTGGTAAATGCTTTGGGACTTCGAGTTAAACCTTATTTACAACAAATCACTTCAACCATATTATGGAGACTTAATAATAAATCCGCCAAAGTTCGTCAACAAGCGGCGGATTTGATTTCCCGTATAGCAGTTGTAATGAAAACTTGTGGAGAAGAAAAACTTATGGGACATCTTGGTGTGGTACTTTATGAATATTTAGGTGAAGAATATCCCGAAGTACTTGGATCCATACTTGGGGGATTAAAATCGATTGTTAATGTTATTGGAATGTCTAGTATGACACCTCCCATTAAAGATCTTTTACCACGTTTAACACCTATATTAAAAAATCGACACGAGGTAAAGTAATGATTTAATTATTTTATTTTTGTGAATATGAATGAGATTAAGAATTAAATTTTTTTTTTTTATTTTACATTTAAAAAAAATAAAATATAATATTATAATAATAATAATAATAATAATAATAATAGAAAGTACAAGAATCATGTATTGATTTAGTTGGTCGTATCGCCGATCGAGGAGCGGAATTTGTTAGTGCACGTGAATGGATGCGTATATGTTTCGAATTATTGGATATGCTTAAAGCTCATAAAAAAGGTATTCGACGAGCCACCGTAAATACATTTGGTTATATAGCCAAAGCCATCGGACCTCAGGATGTATTGGCTACCCTACTTAATAATTTGAAAGTACAAGAACGTCAAAATCGAGTTTGTACCACCGTGGCAATAGGTGGGGATTTTTTGAAAAAATTGGTTTATAAATATTTTTTTTTAGAAAATAGGAATATTCAGAGAAATCTAATTTTGTTTATCTTTTTTTTTTTTAAAAAAAAAATAGCCATTGTTGCAGAAACCTGCGCACCGTTCACTGTTTTACCTGCTTTAATGAATGAATATCGAGTACCGGAATTGAATGTTCAAAATGGTGTATTGAAGGTATTCCTTTCCTTTTTTCTTTTATTTTGTTATTTAAAGAATATACACATGATTAACACGCACTCTATTGATTGATTTAATTTCAGTCTCTTTCATTCTTATTTGAATATATCGGAGAAATGGGAAAAGATTACATTTATGCCGTAACACCATTATTGGAAGATGCATTGATGGATCGTGATTTGGTTCATAGACAAACAGCTTGTACTACAGTAAAACGTATGTTGTTATAATTATTATATTATAAATTCCATGTTTTTTATTTATTTTATAAAATTAAATTGAACAAAATTTAATTTTACAACAATTAACCACAATTTATTTATTTAATAGACATGTCACTTGGTGTTTTTGGACTTGGTTGTGAAGATGCACTTTTGCATTTATTAAATTATGTTTGGCCAAATATTTTCGAAACTTCACCTCATGTTATAAATGCCGTGATGGAAGCGATTGAAGGTTTAAGAGTTGCTATTGGACCTGCCACAGTTTTACAATATACTTTACAGGTAATTTAATTTTTTTTTCTTTTTTTTTTTTTATAACGAATTATTATTTTTATTATTAATTTATTATCATTCACACACACACATATATTTATGTATGATTTTTTTTTATAGGGATTATTCCATCCAGCTCGTAAAGTTCGCGAAATATATTGGAAAATATATAATAACTTATATATCGGTGCGCAAGATGCATTAATTCCTTATTATCCTCGAATAGAAGATGATGAAAGAAATAATTATGAACGATATGAATTGTCGATGTGGCTTTGAATTTTACCGCACTCGTATAAACTGAAAATTTTTTCAAACTTAGATTCCTCTCTCTTTTTCTCAATTAAAAGCGTATATAACCCTTTTTTTTTTTTCTCGAAAAACTTTTTTAATACAAAAAAAAAATAATTCGCTTTTCAACCTTTTTACTTTTGATACTACAATTTAAAATGAACTCGAAATTTATCTCTTTAGCATCTTTATTCTCTCCATCTACAGGCAGTTGCTCACCTTAATATTCATAGAATTATATTATTATTTTTTTTTGCTTGAATTACATTTTACGAGTTGTCAATAACTAAATTTATATTATTTTTATTATTCTTTTTCATTTATTTTTATTATTCAAGTGTTTTTGAAAGCAATAAGATTATTCGATATTATTCAAGATTATTCAAGATTTATTCGATTAATCATATAGATTATTTTCTTATTCTTTTTTTTCAAATATATTATTTTAAATTAGGTTAGTCAAACATCAAATTAAAAATATTTTTTTCTTCCTTTTTTTTATATATATATATTTGAGAAATAATTTTATTTGAGGATAATTTTTCTAAATGTTGTAAAAAAAAATTCATTCATCTTTTTTTAAAAATATATTTTAGATAATAAAAAAAAGTATCGGTTTTTTTCTAAACTATATACGAATATTCTTTCAGAATCATACGAAAACCAGTTACAAGTACATTATAATAATAATAATAATAATAATAAAATAATCTTTCTATTTTGTTTATTAATTATTGTTTGACAAGTTGAACAACATCTTCATCTTGAAGAACATGAGTTAATCCTACCTTTTGTGGTTGATGTTTAGCGGAACTGCCCCAAACTAACGCACTAAAATATATATATATTATTATATTATTATTTAATAATAATCGTCATTTGATCATAAAAAGGAAACGAACTTACTATTTGAATTGTTTAACAATTCCTTTATGAATGCTATTACAAAAATCTTCTATAGTTCGAAGATTTTGTCTTAAAACCACTGGTGCACTATAATCAGGTAATTGACCTTTTGGCTTAGTATAACTAATAATAATAATAAAGAAATAGATAATAAGTATATATTAAAGAAATAATAATTATTTTTAATAATAACAATAATAATAATAATAATAATAATAATTGACAAATAAATAAATCATTCATTCATACATTCTAATAAGGTTTAGATATTCCCACGTCTTTTCTAACAGTTCATCGAAATTCCATTCCTTTAATACAAATATTATTATTTAATATATTTTTAATTCAAAAAAAAATTTTCAAAATAATGTTGGAAATATTATCATAATGTATTTTTAATAATAACATAATAATAATAAAGGCATGCTTACATGATGAGCCGAAATAGGAACCGCGTGTGGAATTTTATATACTAAATCTAATTCTTCTACACTAATTTGATCGATCTAACGAAGGAAAAAATGTTATTATTTCCGAGAATATTTCCGAGATTACTACCAAGATTTATTTTCGAGATTATATTTTTGTATTTACCTTGTTCAATACATATATGGCAGGTATATAAACTCTTCCTTCAATAATATCTATTAAATCATCAATATCTGCATCACACTTAAAATTAACATCCGCATTATGAATTTTATATTCACTTAATACTGCTTTAACTTGATCTAAATCTAAATGAGTTAATGGTACTGTATTTGTCATATTAATTCCTCCTTTTTCCTTTTTTTTAAAATAAATATTGGGTGGTGGTTTGTTTAATCTAATCCCAAATCCTTCTAATTCCGTTTCAATGATTTTTTTATCGGTAAGAGGTTTTAATACATCTAATACCAAAAATATTAATGAACAAGTACGAGCCACCGCTATAACTTGTTTACCCCTTCCTCTTCCATCTTTAGCACCTTCCACAATACCGGGTAAATCTAAAATTTGAATTTTGGCTCCTTTATATTGAAGTACTCCGGGTACAGTCGTTAATGTGGTAAACTCATAGGCAGCTACGGCTGAAAATGTTCCAGTTAATTTTGACATTAAAGTGGATTTTCCTACTGATGGAAATCCTATTATAATAATTAATCAAAAATTATTAATTATAATAATTATTAATTAAATTAATTAAATAAATATTTTTTAAAGGTTGATTAATAATAATGTATATACCAACAAATCCAATTCTCGCAACTCCAGTTTTCGCAACATCAAAACCAACTAAAAAAATATGTAAATGAGAAAATATCAATTATTTTAATTGATTATTATTATTCCAATTTTATTTATTTATTTATTTATTTATTTAATGAAAAATAAAATTTATTCTCACTTCGATAACGGAGAGAAAAACGTACCACCACTACCACCTCCACTTCCTCCTTGAGGTGTTATAAGTTCTTTACGTAATTTTGCTAATTTAGCTTTTAGCGTTCCTAAATGGTACGATGTCGCTTTGTTTTTTTGTGTGCGAGCCATTTCGGACTCAACTACAAAAACGTAAATCATAATAATAAAAGGAAACATTAATAAAATATAATTAAGATCAAAAGGGTGGACAATAAAGATGTTATTATTAGATCTGAGCTATTACTAAAACCTTTTTAAAAATCTTTAAAAATCATTGAAATATATTTTGAAATTTGAATAGAAATGAAGTTTTTTTTTTCATTGATACTATACTTTCTTTAATTTTGTCAACGATGGAAGCCATTTTTTACAAAAAAAATTTTTAATATATATCTGTAAACAAGAGAGAAGGAGATCTGATGTGGAATATCATCATAAACATAATATATAATTGAGATCATCTTTAAGAAATTATTATTTAATATTAGGTAAAGGATGACAAGCATTTACGATTTTTTTTTTCGTTGGATTATAACGAAATTTAATTTTTTATATTTATTACGCTGTGGCAGTGGAGTTATTAGATCAACCATTCCGTTAAACTTACGCTTCTGATATTCATTCTTTAAAAACTAAAAAAGGCTCGAAGTAAATTGGATCAAATAAGTTATATTGTGATTGTTTCCAAAACATAACGAACAAGGATAGAGAAATAGTAAACACGAGTGGTCAGGATTTACAATTATCAGCAAACAAAAAAAAATTTGACCATTACAAAGTGAATTAAAAAGATTTTGAGGATAAATTTACTGTTTTACGAATTGAAAGTAATAATAAAAATAATGAAATATTAGAAAAAGAAAAATATTGAAAGATGAAAGTGAAAATTTATCGCAAATATAAATATAATTCTAATCGTGATCGGTACGTTATTACGAATAATGTTAAATACATACTTGCTAATATAATTACTGGGACTAATAATTTCAAAGAAAGTAAGATTTTTTTATTATTTATTATTAACATTTATTAAATAGATATTAATACAATTTACAATTAATTATCGAAAAATTTTAGTTCTAAAGCGATCCGATCATACGTGAATACAGTCAACTTTCTATAAATGCACCCGCGGGAGTATTATAGAGGGTAATTTTATAAGTGTCATTAGTGGAGCATAGGGTGTATTTAAAGAGAGAATGCACTTATAGAGGGTGCATGACCGTAAAGGCTGTAAAGAGAATTTTTCTAATTATATCTTTTTGTCTGGGCAAAGAATGTAAAAATCACACCAGGATAATATGATCCAAAAAACAATTTTTGAGTGTAATATCCTGATGCCCTATCCATTTGGCAAGAGGAAAAAATACAGAATCATAAAAATAAACTTGCTTATTTTGGAAGAACATTTTCTTCAAAAGAAAGTTTACAGTAGATAAATAAAAAAATTTCAAAAAATACAAAGTATTATTAAAAATTTATTAATTGCCGATAATAATTTCTATAAATAGATAAACTTTCAGACTTCTGATAATTTTACTAAGCAAAAAATTGTGTGGATAAATTGATTATATTAAAAATAATAGAAATACTAATAAACGTTGCTATTTCTCTTGTTTTTATAACATTAGATATTGTGCGGGTACTCATATGTGAACATCCATGCGTAATGAATTTTTGTTAATGGTTTAACGCAACAAAACTTTTTGGCTGTAAATTATTTTTGCTTTTACGGCGCGTTACGCCTCGACAAAAAATTAGTAATCAGGATTTTATTTTAAATGGAATTAACCAAGAATGTAAACAAGGCCCCAATTATGGTTAATATTTATAGTTAATAGTCAATAATAATAAAACTCGCAACTTTGGGTTTTCGCAACAACTGAATATGTGAATGAATAAATAATAATAATAATAATAAAAACTAGTGAATTAAACATTCATTTATTTAATTGATTATTCGAATCTATTCTCACTTCGATAACGGAGAAAAACATACCGCAACCACCGCCACCTCGGCTTTTTAATTTTCTTTGGCGATATCAACCTCATCAAGTATCATTTACATATTTACATAATTACATAAATTTTCAATTACACAACTTCAAGGTCATTACTTGAGTCATTATGATAACATTAAATGTTAGTAAAATAAATTTGCTAAATAGACGAAATTTAAACAATTTTGTCGAAATAACTTTCATTTGATAAATTTAATTAAAAGAATTCATTATGACTTCTAATAATATAGAAGCACTAAAGTTGATAGGAGGAATTCAAAAATTGCTTGATTTTGAACACTACGAACCATCTCTTGCAGAGAGAATCTTAAGACCTAACCTTCATTCTATAATTAATAAATATGAGCGTAATGCGAAAGAGGCTCAAGACAAATTGAGTGACTTAGAATATTTTATAGAAAGATTGAAAGAGGACAATGAAAAATTAAACAAAGATTTATCACAATTTCAGAGAAGTATAATTCTAATCGGTATCACAGGTAGTGGTAAATCCGCACTTGCCAATGTAATTACTGGAACTAATAATTTCAAAGAAAGTGAATACTGTGTTAGTGAAACCAAGGAGGGTAAACTTGAGAAGTTTACTGCAGATGATGGAATAAAGTATCACATAATTGATACTATCGGAATAAAAGACACAGAATTATCTACAGAAGAGACATTAAAAAAATTAAAAGAAACAGCTCGTCAAAGTAATTATAACTTAAATCAAGTTTTGCTTGTGTTTGGTGGAAGATTTACCAAAACGGAAACAAAAGTATTTAACTTGATAAAAGAGAAATTATTTAAGGACAATGAGGACATCACCAAGTATATTACTTTGGTCAGAACGAGATTTATACATTTTCAAAATGAAAGTAAATGTAAAAATGATATTGATCGTTTAAAAACCCAAATCGGGAAGGAGATAGTTGAATCGTGTGGAGAAGGTAAAATTATTCATTTAGATAATCCACCAATAAACATCAGCGGCGACGACAGTGAAATGGTAGAAACTCAAATTAACCTAAATAAAAAAATTCGGGAATTATCAAGAAAAAAAATATTGGAGCACTTATTATTCCATTGTCAAGAAAATTTTCAAGACAAAGATGTTAAAAATGATGAATTGATTAAATCAAATAATTGTGCTTAGTTGGGTGTGGTGTTGAAAAGAAAGAATATATCGGCATAGTTTGTTGTTATTGAAACAGTTTTATGATAATTAATTTTTATTTTTAAATATTATTACATTTATTATTAATTTCTTGGAACGCATTAACATTTTCCTTTTTCACCAAAACAATGCCTTTTTTGTCTAATTGTGTTACTGCTCATTTGTTTTTATCTTTAAGATCAACATCAAGTCCGCAATGCAATTTACAAATGTATTTCAAAAGTATTATTAAATTTTATATTAATTCATTAATAAACGTTTGCTATCTCAAATGTTAGTGTTTTTCGTGGAAAAAGAAATATTTTGCATATGCGTAATGGCTTAACATCTTGACAAAAAATTAGTCAAAATTTTTTGGCGCGTTACATCTTGACAAAAATTAGCCAAAATTTTTTGGCGCTTTACATCTTGTTACATCTTGTTACATCTTGACAAAAAATTAGCCAAAATTTTTATTATTTACTCTAACTGTATATCGGAATTTTATTTTAAATGGAATTAACCAAGAATGTAAACAAAGCCCCAATTAAATATTTTATGGTTAATATTTAAATATTTATAGTTAATAGTTAATAATAATAAACATATTCGCAACTTTGGTTTTCGCAACATCAAAAACCAACTAAATATGAGAATGAGAAATAGAATAATAATAAAAAAACTAGTGAATTAGATATTAATTTATTTAATTGATTATTCGAATTTATTCTCCAATAACAGCGAAAAACGTACCGCAACCACCGACACCTCCGCTTTTTTAATTTAATTCAATTTTCTTTGGTAATATCAATCTACATATTTATGATAACATAAATTTTTTCAATTACGCAGCTTCAAGGTCATTACTTGAGTCATTATGATAGCATTAAATGTTAGTAAAATAAAATAAATCTTTAAATAAACGAAATTAACAATTTTGCCAAATAACTTTCATTTGATAAATATAATTCATTATGACATCTAATAATGTAGGAGAAGTACAAAAGTTAATGAAAGGAATTCGCAATTTGCTTGATGTTAGACACAGCTATTCACCTAGTGAAGAGAGAATCTTTAGTTTATTCTTCCCTCAATTTCATTCCATAATTGATCAATATAAGCGCAATGCGAAAGAGGCTGAAAACAAAATGAGTAGCGTTGAAAGTAAATTAAAAGATCTCGAGAGTTCGGTAACTGATTTAGGAAATAAAAATCATAATAAAGATAAAATCATAAAAAGATTGAAAGAGGACAATGAAAAATTAAGCAAAGATTTATCACGATTTCAGAGAAGTATAATTCTAATCGGTATTACGGGTAGTGGTAAATCAACACTTGCCAATGTAATTACTGACACTAATAATTTCAAAGAAAGTGAATATTGTGTTAGTGAAACCAAGGAGGGTAAACTTGAGAAGTTTACCGCAGAGAATGGAATAAAGTATCACATAATTGATACTATCGGAATTAATGACACAGAATTGTCTACAGAAGAGACATTGAAAAAATTAAAAGAAACAGCTCGTCAAAGTAATTACAACTTAAATCAAGTTTTACTTGTGTTTGGTGGAAGATTTACAGAAGCAGAAACAAAAGTTTTTAACTTGATAAAAGAGAAATTGTTTAAGTACAATGAGGATATCACCAAATATATTACTTTGGTCAGAACGAGATTTATCCATTTTCAAAATGCAAGTCAATGTAAAAATGATATTGATCGGTTGAAAACTCAAATCGGAAAGGAGATAGTTGAATCGTGTGGGGAAGGAAAAATCATTCATTTAGATAATCCACCAATAAACATCAGCGGCGACGGCAGTGAAATGGTAGAAACTCAAATTAAACTAAATAAAAAAATTCGTGAATTATCGAGAAAAAAAATATTGAATCACTTATTATTCCATTGTCAAGATAATTTTCAAGACCAAGATATTGAAAATAAATTAATTAATTAAATCAAATAATAGTATTTAATTAGGTGTGTGTTGAAAGAGAGAAGAATTATTTCGGCATAGTTTTTATTGAAACAGTTTTAAGATATTCTTAATTTTTATTTTAAATATAGTTATTTATTATTTATTGTAACATTTATTATTACGATTTTTTGGTGGCATAACATTTTCCTTTTCACCTTTTTGTTTAATTGTGTTACTACTCGGACCTTGCATTTTTTGTTTTTGTTATTTTTTTTACCCTTTAAGATCAACCTCCCGATAAAAAGAAAATAATAAAAATTTGTTCTTTAAAAGGATGTTCAAAAATATTCAAATTATAAGATGTAACAAATGCGATCTTTTATTAATAAACGTTACTATCTCCCTTTTTTTTTTTTAATAATGTTAGCGTTTTTCGTGGAAAAAGAATTAATAATAATAAACATACAATTCTCGCAATTCTGGTTTCGTGACATCAAAAACCAACTGAATATGTAAATGAGAAATAGAATAATAATAAAAAAAACTAGTGAATTCAACGTTCATTCATTTAATTGATTATTCGAATTTATTCTCACTTTAATAACGAAGAAAAAAACGTATCACAACCACCATCACCTCCGCTTTTTAATTTAATTTAATTTTCTTCGGTCGGATCTGATCGGATTTTATCTATATTCGAATCTAAATTCTTAATCCGATCCGGATTTATTATTATGATTTATTATTATTTTGTTAGTGGTGCGCAATAACATCTTTTTTTCACAAAAACAACGCCTTTTTTGTTTAATTGTGTTACTGCTCATTTGTTTTTATCTTTAAGATCAACCTCAATGAAATTTACGAATGTATTTCAAAAAGAAAAAAGACGTAAAACATCATCCACAGCTAAAAAAAATTGTTCTCTAAAAGAATGTTCAAAAATATTCAAATTATAAGATGTAAAAGTATTATTAAATTTTATATTAATTCATTTCTATCTCACTTGTTTTTATAATGTTAGTGTTTTCTGTGGAAAAAGAAATATTGTGCATATACGTAATGGCTTAACGCAACAAAATTTTTTGGCGTGTTGGCACGTTACATCTTGACGAAAATAAGACAAAATTTTTTAGCGCGTTACATCATTAGCCAAAATTTTTCGGCGCGTTACATCTTGACAAAAAATTAGCCAAAAAATCGGAATCTTTTTTTAAATGGAATTAACCAAGAATGTAAACAAAGCTCCAATTAAATATTTTATGGTTTAATATTTACATGTAATTATCAATTAAATATTTATAGTTAATAGTTAATAATAATAAACATTAAAAACCAACTGAATATGTGAATGAGAAATAGAATAATAATAAAAAAAACTAGTGAATTAAACATTCACTCATTTAATTGATTATTCGAATTTATTTTCACTTCGATAACGGAGAGAAAAACGTGCCACATCTACCAACCACTTCCGCTTTTTAATTTAATTTTTCTTTGGGGATATTAATCTCATTGTGTATTATTTACATATTTATCATTACATAAACGCCAACCTCAAGGTCATTACTTGAGTCATTATGATAACATTAGTAAAATAAATTGTTAAATAGATGTTTTTCACGAAATTTAAAATTATTTGTCAAAAATAATTTTCATTTAACAAATAATTCATTATGACATCTAATAACATTGAAGATGCACTTGGGTTGATAGGAGAAGCCCAAAGATTGCTTGATGTTAGAAACTACTTGCCATCTAAGACAGCGGGAGCTTTTAGATCAATCATCCCTATAGGTTCCCTTTATGATGTTAGTTTGCTTCATTCTTTCATTGATAAATATAAGCACGATGCGACAGGAGCCCAAACCAAATTGAGTAACGCAGAAAGACAAATAAGCAATTGTTTCCAAGCACTAGATAGAGAAATATCGAACAAGGGTGGTCAAATAACTTCGCTAATTGATCAACTAACGACCGCTCAAGGTCAGAATTCAAGACAGATTACCGAAATAAATGAACTTAATGTGCAATTGGGAGAAAAACAAGAACAACTCGATGCAGTTCAAAGTGAATTAAAAGATTTTGAAGGTTTGGTAACTGATTTACGAAATGAAAATGATGATAAAGACGATGAAATACATGGAAAAGAAAAAAGAATAAAAAGATTGAAAGAGGACAATGAAAAATTAAGAAAAGATTTATCACGATTTCAGAGAAGTATAATTCTAATCGGCATTACAGGTAGTGGTAAATCTGCACTTGCCAATGTAATTACTGAAACTAATAATTTCAAAGAAAGTGAATACTGTGTTAGTGAAACCAAGGAGGGTAAACTTGAGAAGTTTACTGCAAAGAATGGAATAAAGTATCACATAATTGATACTATCGGAATTAATGACACAGAATTGTCTACACAAGAGACATTGAAAAAATTAAAAGAAACGACTCGTCAAAGTAATTACAACTTAAATCAAGTTTTACTTGTGTTTGGCGGAAGATTTACAAAAGCAGAAACAAAAGTATTTAACTTGATAAAAGAGAAATTGTTTAAGGACAATGAGGATATTGCTAAGTTTATTACTCTTGTCAGAACTAATTTCGCAGATTTCCGAAATGAAAATAAATGTAAAAATGATATTGATCGTTTAAAAACGCAAATCGGGAAGGAGATTGTTGAATCGTGTGGAGAAGGTAAAATCATTCATTTAGATAATCCACCAATAAACATCAGCGGCGGCGACAGTGAAATGGTAGAAACTCAGATTAACCTAAATAAAAAAATCCGTGAGTTATCGAGAAAAAAAATATTGGATCACTTATTATTTCATTGTCAAGAAAATTTCCAAGACCAAGAAGAATTAAATCAAATGATGATGTTTAATTAGGTGTGGTATTGAAAAGAAAGAATTATTTCGGAATAGTTTATTGTTATTGAAACAGTTTTTTAAATATAGTTATACGTATATTATTTTTTGGTGATTTACTCTAAATATTATTTTTGACTGATTTGATTTTCTTGGTGTGCGAATAATCATTTTCCTTTTTCACTAAACAAACACCTTTTTTTGTTTAATTGTGTTAATGCTCTTGCATTTTGTTTTAAAATCACAAATTATAAGATGTAAAGTATTATCGTTTAATTAATAAATAAAAATGCGGTAACGTTTCTATCTCATTTATTTTTTCATATGCGTAATGAATTGAATTTTTTCAATGGTTTAACGCAAAAAGTTTTTGGTTGTAAATTATTTTTGCTTTTACAGCGCATTACATCTAAACTGTATATGGGAATTTTAATAATCAAATATTTATAGTTAATAGTTAATAATAATAAAAATACAATTCTCGCCACAACATCAAAAACAAACTAAATGTGCGAATGAGAAACAGAATAACAATAAAAAAAACTTGTATATTAAACATTTATTAATTGATTATTCACTTTGATAACGGTACCACATCCACCACCTATGCTTTTAATTTTTCTTGGGGATATAGATCTTATTATGTATTATTCACATATTTACATAATTATAATTACATAAATTTTAATTACGAAACTTCGAGGTCATTACTTGAGTCATTATGATAACATTAAATGTTAGTAAATAAACTGTTAAATAGATGTTTTTCACGAAATTTAAAAATTTGTCAAAAATAACTCATTTGACAAATAATTCATTATGACATCTAATAATATAAGAGAAGCATTAAGTTTGATAAGAGAAGCTCAAAGATTGCTTGATGTTGGAAACTACTTGCCATCTAAGACAGCGGGAGCTTTTAGATCAATCATCCCTATAGGTTCCCTTTATGATGTTAGTTTGCTTCATTCTTTCATTGATAAATATAAGCACGATGCGACAGGAGCCCAAACCAAATTGAGTAACGCAGAAAGACAAATAAGCAATTGTTTCCAAGCACTAGATAGAGAAATATCGAACAAGGGTGGTCAAATAACTTCGCTGAATGGTCAAATAACTTTTCTAAATAGTCAAATAACTTCATTAATTGATCAACTAACAACTTCTCAATATCAGAATTCAAGAAAGAGCACCGAAATAAATGAACTTAATGTGCAATTGGAAGAAAAACAAGAACAAATTGTTGCAGTTCAAAATGAATTAAAAGATTTTAAGGGTTTGGTAACTGATTTACGAAATGAAAATGGTGACAAAGATAATGAAATACATGGAAAAGAAAAAAGAATAAAAAGATTGAAAGAGGATAATGAAAATTTAAGCAAAGATTTATCACAATTTCAGAGAAGTATAATTATAATCGGTTATACAGGTAGTGGAAAATCCACACTTGCTAATTTAATTACTGGAACTAATAATTTCAAAGAAAGTGAATACTGTGTTAGTGAAACCAAAGAGGGTAAACTTGAGAAGTTTACTGCAGAGAATGGAATAAAGTATCACATAATTGATATTATCGGAATTAATGACACAGAATTGTCTACACAAGAGACATTAAAAAAATTAAAAGAAGCAACTCGTCAAAGTAGTTACAACTTATATCAAGTTTTGTTTGTGTTTGGTGGAAGATTTACAAAAGCAGAAACAAAAGTATTTAACTTGATAAGAGAGAAATTGTTTAAGTACAATGAGGATATCACCAAGTATATTACTTTGGTCAGAACGAGATTTATACATTTTCAAAATGAAAGTAAATGTAAAAATGATATTGATCGTTTAAAATCTCAAATCGGGAAGGAGATAGTTGAATCGTGTGGAGAAGGAAAAATTATTCATTTAGATAATCCACCAATAAACGTTAGCGGCGACGACAGTGAAATAGTAGAAACTCAAATTAATCTAAATAAAAAAATTCGGGAATTATCGAGAAAAAAAATATTGGATCACTTATTATTTCATTGTCAAGAAAGTTTTCAAGATCATGAATCGTATAATTATTTGGGAAATAGTTTAGAAATCAAATAATTGTGTTTCTGTTCTGACTTCATCAAGAGACACTACTCTATCAAAGAAAAAGTTATTGTTTAGTTTAGAAAGAAAGAATTATATCGGTGGCATAGTTTATTGTTAATAAAACAAAAAGAATATTATTCTTTTCTGTCAGCTTTATATAATTAAATGGTTCCTTAATTTTATTTCAAATAAATTATTATTTAATCATTGATTGGTAACATTCATTAAAACACACCAATAAATTTATTAAGTTTCTAAATTCTAATTCGTGTACTCATGACATTTTAATCATTTCGCCAATACGTGTACTAACGCAATGAAGTTTAGGTCTCTCTAGTACAGTTATACATTTTGACCAAAAATAACAAATAGAACTTACAAATTACTAAGAAAATAATGTCTAGTTAAATCTTAAGAAAACTTTCGACACAATCAACAAAGACCTCAAAAGAATTTTCAAAATTTAGCTCCGAGGTGACGCGTAAAGTGAAAAGGAAGAAGTTTATATTATGTTCACGCCGTACATTCTTGGTCGGCGATGAACTCTTGCATATAAACTTCAATTAATTTTTCGAGGAAGTAAAGATGGTTTCCTACCAAAAAAATTTTGGAATATGTGCAATAAACACACTAGTACAGTAGTAAGTGGGGTTATAATTCATTGATTTGGAATAATTCAAAACTGAAGACATTTAATGGAAATAAATGATAGTCAAATATAAAAGTTGGGCTCTATATTGTTGGCAGAAGACTTTGGTTATGAATTTTTATTAAATCTTATTTATCAAAGATAAAATATCCCTGGTATTTATTATTATGAACTGATAAAAAATTTTTTATTATAGATTATGAAGTATTTAAAAAAAAAAAAAATAATCTCAAATTCCAAATGTAAAGCAACTTGATAATTTTCTGATATATTATTGATTTTGTAGCATTTATTTATAATTACTTTATAGTTTTGACCTGATATTCATTGGTAGCAGTGCAGTTTTTCCAATTATAACGTGAGACACTAAGACAAGAAAAAGATTTCATATTTTCTTTATCAACTTCAATGAAGACATTTAATTTTTTTATAATTTTTCATTAAGAAATTCATCAAGATCTCTAAAAACTTCTTCAGAATCTTCAGAAAAGAATTCTTCAAGATCTCTTTAAATTTCTTCAGAATATCTATATTCGATTTCGTTGATTGAGAGTTCATTTATTCTTTGAGGTAATTTGGGATTTGAAATAGTTCTTGCAGGTAGGACAAGAGATTTAACTGATTGATTTGGAAATACTTGCTTGATACTATGCACTTAATTTAATTAATATTTAATCTATAAATTCATTGTCGGATGAAGATGAATTCTTCAAAAATTATTAGATGCCAGTAACTTTTATCTCAATTGTTAGCAGAGTTATTTCATTGATGAAGTACGAATTTAATTTAATTTGTAAAAACTTCAACAACTTAATAATACTTTTTTAATAATTTATCCAGAAAATTTATACTTGTTTTATATCAAAGAAATTTTGGCAATCAAAATGATCTTTTATATATTTGACACAATGATAGATTTATTAATTTTTTTAATTTAATTTTAATTAATTTTCATAAATTTAAAATAACAAATCACACTATGTAACATGACATGTATATCTCAATGAAAGTGGGTGGTTGCTCTAAAAAAAATAATGGCTATTTATTTGAATTAAATTGTTAATATTTATTCCAAATCTAGATTTTAAATAATCTTAAAAAATATATTTAGTTCAATGGTGTATAATTTCTTTATATGTCATAAAAATGCCGTTTTATTAAAATAGATTTATCATATTGAAATATTCGTACATATAAAATAAAAAAAAAGAAAGTACATTTGGAATTTGAAATTATTATTTTTTAAACGATCTTAAATACTTCATAATCTACAATAGAAAAATTTTCATTAGTTGTTCTAATGGATTTTTCATAATAACCATAATTATGAGCACTCCAACATTGTTTATCTTTAGTAAATCAGAAACTTTCGATTTCAATAAAAATTCACTATAAGTATTTTGTAAATTAGAACTATGATAATATACAGTAGAACATGAAATTTATTTTTAAATCTGCTGAGAATTGAATTTTGAATTTTCCCATTTTTCAATGAAAATATAAAGTTATCATTTGTTTCCATATATGTAAATGCTGTTACTACCTGGGAGAGCAAGCTTTACTAATTTGTAGTGGTTTAGCTTGGTAGTGAACTTGTGTTGGTTAAATTATGTGAATGATTATAAATATTAAAGGTGAAATATAAAATATAGAAAGAATTC